TTCCTGACCACTCCCGAATTCGGTCTGACAAGTCAGATCCGGCAGCTGGTATGCCGAAGTCGAGCTCCCAAAATTTGGGAGTCGGATTTCGGGAATGGTGTGGTGAGGCCCAGTGTTCTCAGGCGGCGTCAGCGGACAGATGCCATCTGTGTCGTCAATGCCATCAGCACAGCTACTGCTGGAGCAATTCTTTTTTTTTTTTTTTTCAATAACGAAGTTAGCAATGGCGTTGCAACATCGTCTTTGAACTGACATACCGCAGGTAACTTCAGAATTAGTCATCTGATTCCATCATGATTTGGACTCTGCTCTGTACATCTGCCGTACTCGTGTTTCCATGCCACCACCAGAAAAGAAAATACCTACGGGCCAAGGCAGTGTTTTTCTTCAAGTTCCCCCCCAACCCCCCCCCCCCCGCCGAAATATGGCGAATTTTTTAGGTAGTGGCCCACGAAGGAGGGCAGCAATTTTTTTTTTTTTTTTTTTTTGGGGGAGGGCAGCAATTTTGGCCTGACAGAGCATAGTTCAAACTGAATTCACCTTAGGTAGCCGCATCAGCAGTTCTAGCACAAAAAAGAAAATCTGACAGTCGACGAACTGAGAGGAACTGACTGGATGAAGCAAAAGGAGAGTCAAACTTCAAGAAATAGGGTAAGCGAAACTCCAAACAAAAAAAAAGGAAAAAAAAAAAGGTGAACGAAACTCCAGACTACACAGGCTAACTTAGGCAGGGGTGAAGGATGGTATTATGGTACATCCTTCCAAAAGGAAGTAATCAATGCCGTCCGTCGGGCCTCCACACCAGAAGGGGGAGGAGCGTGAGTGCGTTGTCAATGTACTTTCTTCGACTTGCCGGTGGAACAGGAACTGGACTGATGCTCCCCAGAATGGACAAGGAGCTGGAACCCTGAGGTTCTGATACAAAACAAAGAAAAACAGAAAAAAAAAAAGAGGTCGAAGGAACTGCGGACTCACTTCAGTGATAATTTCCATTCCATTTATATCTATCATGCTGACAGCCCATAGCTGAGAGGAGCAAACCAGGAGCAGAATAGGTAAGTAAGAGCCACACAAAAAGCTTAGCTGCAACAGGCTAACTTAGGCAGGGGTGAGGGGTGGTACATCCTTCCCGAGGGAAGCAACCAATGCCGCCCACTCGGGCCTCTCAACCGTAATGGGGAGGAGCGTGGAGTGAGTCAATCTTGTACTACTTTTTGACTTGCCGGTGGAATAGGAACCGGACTGTTGCTCCCCAGAATGGAGGAGCCAGAACCGAGAGGTTCTGATCTGCAAAAAAAAAAAAAAAAAAACATAAAAAATAATATATAAAAAAAATAAAAAAAAAATCATGCGGAGCTACAAGCCGTGCTGCCGGGTGGCCCAGTTGGGCCGAGTTGGGGAAAGGTCCCAGGGCGCACCAGCGCAAAGAAAAAGGAAATTGAAAAAAAAAAAAATTATTGGTTACGATCTGGGGGGCCTGGAAACCCCCAGGTCCACCCAGACTGGCCTCTGGGTGGCTCTCCACAAGCGGTTAACGGGGACCCCCACGTTTCGGGCCTGAGTAACCATGAATGATCCTGAAATTAGGGTTTCGGGGTCAAATTTTGTGTTTTTTTGGATTTTTTTTTTTGGCTGTTTTTGTTTTTGGACAAGCTTGCTGTGTGCCAATGGTTTTCTTATAAACTGAGGTGAAAAATGGGGGGTCGGTTAACCGGCTCTCTCTGGGTGGACTGAGCTCCGCCGCAACCGGTTGAGTGCCTGGCCCAGCCAGGCATGGAAATTGAAAGGAAAAAGCAAGGGCAGCACGGCCTCCCAGGGCGGTTTCGGCGCCCGGAAGGCATGCCTGACGGCTGACAATTATTTGCTTCCCTTTCTCTGTTTGGGGGCCTGCGTCAGGTAGCTCTTTCTCTGTTTTGCTTAGTCACTTTCTTTTTTTTTTTGGTTATTTTATTCATTTCGTTTTCACATGGTGCTGAGTGGAACCAGTTCCCTGCTCGATGTTGAATCATTTGCATCAACTCGTTATTTTGCAGCAGCACCTTTCGCCATCGGCCCATCGCCCACTCGTGTGTCCAGCCTCCCGCCATCTTGCCTCCAGCCCTTCGCCCGCGGCACCCTTCGCCATTGCCCATCGCCCATTCGTGTGTCCAGCCTCCCGCCATCTTGCCTCCAGCCCTTCGCCCGATGGCACCCTTCGCCATTGCCCATTCGTGTGTCCACCCTGCCGCCATTTAGCCCAATCGGGCGCCCTTCGCCATTGCCCATTTGTGTGTCCACCCTGCCGCCATTTCGCCCACGCCACCCTTCGCCCGCGCCACCCTTTGCCCACGCCACCCTTCGCCCGCGCCACCCTTCGCCCCTGCCACCCTTCGCCCGCGCCACCCTCACCATCCACGTTCATGCATCCAGCGCACCGTGTCAAGCCCGCCCATAGGTCAGAGAGTATCCACTGAAATGGAAAGTTCGACATACGAAATATATATGAAGTTATGAACTAAAGGCGCAAAGGGAGGAAAGGACGAGAAAGGGGGGACCTGTTTTGTCGGATTCACCGAATCATCAGGAGGCTGAACCGCGTGCACCCGCTTGCCCTGCCATATGCTGACCTAGTAGTCAATACTGTGCTGCATGCTTGTGCTGTCATAGAGTGCCTGCCTCTCCGGGACCTTTACCCGCTCGCAAAAGGGTTAAAAGCAGGTTTTGCTTCAAAGCATTGTGAGGGGATTCTTAGACTGTTGAGGGTTCAGCCTCCTGAGGCGGCGGTAAGAGTAGTCCAATGAAACAGGCTGTCACTACCCTCTGTTTTTCCTTCCTGTGTGTGCCTTTCCTTGTGTTCTCTTTGTCCATTCTCCCGCACCATGTGCTTGTCCCATATGACTGCGTGTCTCTGGGTTGAACGACCTGAGATCTAAACCATCAGAGTGCTTTCTTATTCTTGGGGGGAACCATGAGACAAGCAAAGTGCTTTTCTGTTGTCTAGGGAGAACCGATCAGTTTGGGCTGTTTAATATGCAAAGCCAGAGCATGCCACATACACAGAGACATAGCATGCTGCATAGTATAGGACGGCTATGTATGCAGCCAACACACACACACACACACACACACACACACACACACACACACACATGAGACAAGCAAAGTGCTTTTCTGTTGTCTAGGGA